TGTAAACATTTATTTTCATGCACAACTGTGTGTTCGCTATGAAAGAAAAAACATATCACATGCCTGTCGTAATCATAACTCTAAAATGCGATTTGATCATTTAAATTAAGTGCATACTTTCGGTTTAATTTTAACTGCTAAGTGCTTGTTCATACTTCGCACGCGGCACCCAAACGATCACTCTGTTCCACAAACTGAATATTATTTACAACTGTATTACCTGTTATTCGCAACATATGCAGGTTCTGTTCACTAAAGTAGACGCGCAAACGTCTATCATTAAGTAGAGCGCGCGCCCTCTCTGTGATAACAGCTTACGGTCAGCAGCTCACGTCACATGTGATTTTCCGGCCGCGAAAACATCATTATATGAAGACAAAAAGGAGATTTTTAGGTGTATTATACCTTATAAATACAGTATGTGACTCATTCAACATCATTTGGAGGTGTCAATGTCACTGAGCAACGTGAAACAATGAAAAGACTCGTGCAGCCGCCTTTTCTTCTCTCCTAAACTTGAAAATATGATTGACAGAATCGTAGAAATGCTGAATTAAGACCATCTAGGGGGTCGAATCGAGATCGCGATCTTTTAACGATTAATTGTGCAGCTCTAGTATTTGTGTGTGTGTGTGTGTGTGTGTGTGTGTGTTCAACAGCAAAAAGAATCTCAGAAACATCTGAATCCAATTGAGGGCGAGTAAACGTGGTCAATTTGAATTTTAGAGTGAAGCGATCCTTTAAACTAAAATGATGTAAATACATGTAAAACGACAACAGTACAGCACAGTTACTCACTTCCTTCAGACAGCGTCTCTCTGCTAAAGATTCACTTTAGAGGTTAACTGCTTTCCAGTCGTCCAAATCATAATATTGACACTCCACAAAAGTGTTGCAATGTTTGAGAGGCGCTGTGACCCTCCTGCCCCTTATAAAGCTCATCTTAACTGCATTCATCAATGTCTGACCAGCAGCGCCCTACACTTGACCTGTGCCGGCACAAAGAAACAGACCTTCCTGACCTATTTTGCAATGTCCCGGGCGAAATGAATATGATGATTTCTTTCTTTTCATATTGATCAAAGTAAACAAAAGTTGTAAAACCACATTTCTATCTCCTACAGAAATATTTATATCATTATCAATGTTGGAAACAATTGAATTGTGGGGGGTTATATTTTTGTGGAAACACTGATAGATTTTTTTGACTTTCTTTGACTAATAAGAAAAATAAAGACTTCTTTTAACATTATAAAAGTCTTCACAGACTCTTTTAATGAGTTTAACCTATTCCTGCTAAATTCATCAACTCAATTCTGTTCTCAAAGCAGACACCATGTGTTTTAAATACAAGTGCACTGTATTACGAATTCACTTTGTACCCAAAACACTGATATCTTCAGACCAGACTAAGCATAAAAGCGCACCAATTTTAACAAGACTTTACTTAACCCTTTAAGAACATTAAGAACATGTACAAAACATTCAGCATTAAACCTAGGCGAGTTCATATTACAGGTAACGCAATAAACAATTAAAATTTTTAATAAAATAAAATAAATAAATATATAAATAAAATAAATTTAAATTTTATAAATAAAAAAAAAATTTAAATAAATATAGCACGATCAGAAGAGTATAAGATATTTAGCAAGTAGGAAACTTAGTGTTGGGTGTAATAATTAGCTACAAAGTAACTAGTTACAGTTATTAAATTACCCACTGATGAAATAACTTTAAGGAATTACTTTACATCTTTTATAGGTAATTTAAGCACTTTTAGTTATACTGGACTTGCAATATATACTGTAAATAAATTCAACAGTTCTGAATAAATCAATTGAGAGAGGCAGAGTAATTATATTTAGTTATATGGATATATTTTAAAGAATTATAATAATTTTTAACCAAAGAAGGTTCAATTTACAATATTGGAAAAAAAATACATTGCATTATTTTGTATTTCTGCGATTTCTATGGCAGTATCTATACAGTTTCACCAGATAATGTGAATAGCTCTATTTGGGAAAATTTTTTTTAATTTTAGATTAATTGGGATACTTCTATAGGACAGTGAATGATGCATGAAATGTAATAAATTACAGGAGTAGATGAATTCAGTTTAATTCATCTTGATTTCTATAGCATGTTTACAATGTAGACTGTGTCAAAGCAGCTTAACATGGAAGTTCTAGTAAATTAAAACTGCTTCAGTCCAGTTTTCAGAGCTGAAGTTCAGTCTGCTTGAACGATATATTGTGCAGCCCTAGTTAAATTGATCAAGACTATGAACATGCTTAAGCAATAAATTGAAACATCAATGACTAGATATGGTATGGTTGAAATACGGTGTCTTTACTTTGAAGGATTTTTGTGCTTTTTTGACGCATATGGTGTTTAACAGTTAATATTACATTTTTAACAAAGCTTAAGAGCCTTATTTGACTCATTTTAATAATTAAAAGTTTAACTTATACTGCTTGTTGAGATTTGTGCATTCAAGTAATTTAAACTTTTCAGACAAATTAACTTTTCAGACAAAGTAATTAGGAAAGTAATTTAAATTACGAGTAATCAGTAATTACCTTTTACGTAACTCATCCAACACTGGTAACAATATCCTAACTACAAAAGCCACAGATTGTAAGACAGTACATAATGAGACGCAAACATTTTCCTTAGAACACATTTTCAGCTAAACATATTATTTAAAAGAGCTCTTGAAGAAAAAAGAAGTCCCCTAAACCTTGGTTGGTCTGAGAACATATTTAGGTTCTAAATCAATTATGATAGTGCAAACACTGACCACTTGTGATTGGGTCATACAAATATTAACATTAGAAGACATGAACTAAAAGACAAACAAACTAGTCATTAGCTAATCATTAATAAGACATCGTGAGAAGCTTTAGGAAATAATGTAAAATGAGACGAGTGATGACAACTGCCCTTTGAGCCAAAGTACAAAAAAAACAGAGAGGTTAAAACTTTGAATGATTAAAATTCAGATGCAAAACCTCAACTAGCAGAAACATCAAAAGCGCAGCGGAGAAAGAACCTGAACCTGATCAAGTTAAGTTACATTTTTATCCACGCACGCAGACTATCTTTTTGAAGTTTGGGGTCAGTCGGTCAGTATAATTTACTTTTTAAAGCATGTCATATTAAACAAGCAACCCAGCCCTCTAGCAATACTTGCACTGAGTTTTATTAAATGCTAAATTTCGGTCTCCTGACAATCACTGCATATTTTGGAAAACAATAACCAATGAATATAAACAATGCAGAATCTCCATAAATAACATACAAGCAAACTTAAATCCAATACAAAACACCCTACACACCCAATGCAAAAAAAAAAAAAAAAAAATTACAAAAATAAAAATAAATAAAATAACATTTTATATGCCACACACACAAATTTAAATATATATTGAAAGTCTATGTTCAAGTATGCATGTATTTGATGGACAGAGCAAAGCAGTTACTCTGCGAAATAGGCATGGGACGATAACAGTGTTTAAGGTATACAACGGTTTGGAAAAGTCAAAGTTTTGTTTAAAAAGTCGACATTTTCTTTAATAATAATAATAATAATTTAATAATAATAATAATTTTTATTTACTTTTTTTTTTTTTTTTTTTTTAGGACAACAATATCTAAAGCCAAAAAAAATCCAAGGATGCCGTTTTAAATTGCAAAGAAATTTGTGTTTTTGAAACTAATAAAGACTGCAGAAGTCAATTATTCTTTTAAATTATTTAGGCTGACATGTTTACTGCTCCAAAATATTATAAATCTTTCAAAGAATAAAATATATTGTTTTCAAAGGTGAAAAAAGTTTTAGTTTTTTACCCAGACATTTAAAAAGAATATATTTTAGTTTGAAATCACAATAGCGTGATACTTTCATCCAAGGTTATCATAACGTCAGAATTTTTTACCGGCCCATGCCTATTGAGAAATTCTAGCGCAATTTAAAATGATTTTGATTACTTCCATCCAAATGTTTCAGATATAATTCTAATGCGCTAACAGGTTGCTTATAAAAAAATAATAATTTATAATGTATTAGTAAAATAACATTTATTTATTTATTTATTTATTTTTAAAAAGGATTAATTAGTAATGAATATTTTGTAACAAAGTCTGTCAATTTATTGCTTTCTTGCCAAATAAAAAAGCTCAATTTAATCTTTCTGACAACAAACAATTTTACACAAAGATTTTAATGTGTAAAATTTAGAAGTCGCAACTTGACGTCTGTCATTAATGACACGTTTAATTAAATGTTGTGTCAGCAGTTTGTTATTTAGTCATTCTGGTTCCTCCAGCTTCAAGAGTAACCTCGTTACAAAAATCACGAAGAATGCACCATATCTATATCTGTATCTATATCTCGTGTGTGTTGTTTGATGATGTACTCATGCATGACTTTTGTTTACATAAAAAGGTGTCAAAATGACATTGTCAATCCTCATTCACTTTCACTGTATAAAAAAAACAACATATTTAAAGTGAATGGCGAGTGACACTATGAGTCTGTCCAACATCTCAGTTTGTGTTCATTTTTCAAATTTGTGTCACACAGGCTAACAAAAAGGAGACTCAATAAATAATCGTTGATGACACGAAATTAATTTTCAGATGCACTATAGCTTTAAATCACTCCGCTTGATGGAAACCCCAAAGCGGAGTAACATTCAAAGTACACATAACGTTACTCCACTACACTCACACAACAGCTAGACTGACCAATATCATCCATATAAAAACAAAATAAATCGACATATTCATCACTACAGCGCTTTAACTCATTTAATCCTGAAATTAAACGCAGAAACTGCTCGAACACACACGAGGAAGAAAGAATACAGGCAGCCATGACTTCATACTGACACATCAATGAAGCGAGCGTGTGTTTGTGCGCGGGAGCGCGCGCGCGGTCCTGTGTGTGAATATATGTATGTGTGTGTGTATGTGTTTTAAATCGCACTCACCCAGAACCACCGCGGCGAGGATCACCTCTGGGTCATGATGAAGGCGCTCTGGTCGCGGACAAAGAGACTCTAGACTTCAGTCGTGCGCGCTACTGACAGCAGATGATCGTGTGTGTGTAAATGTGCCAGAATACAGCCCAGATCTGCCTCTCAGCATGTACAGGAAGTGATGCAGAGGATATGAGGTCACCGTGGAACTGCGTCAGGTGCGTGTGAGCGCGCGAGAGGCGTGAAGCCCGTTGAAGTGGTCTATAAAACCACGAGCCAGTATTTCCTTTTTAGTCAAATCTATGATTCACGTGGCCTATTTCAAAGACATGTTTCAGATATAAAATAGTATTCTGACATTTGTATTTTATAGCAGTGGCTGCATATTTTGCATCCTTGTCTTGTATTTTGGTAGTTTACAGTAAAATAGCTAATTTGTAAGAAGTCAACCTTATGACATCATAAAAATGGGTCTCTCATTGTTGGCTACTCATAGCTTGCCTTAAAGGAATAGTTCACACAAAATATGCACTCACTATTTACAGTGCGTTTCACACAGGACACATCACACTCTGAAGGGCAAAGTGAACACAATCATGGCAGTCATATTATAGTGTTCCAAACTGAAGTGCTCAAAAATGGCCACTTCGAAGACCCTTTGGAATGAAGGATTTTGAAGAATACAACTAATGGACACTTCAGGCCCCCATGATCCTAGGAGCAGGGAAGTTGTTTATTGTCACACTCTGCATTCAATTTGAAGGGCTCACCCCTATGATCTAATCCTGGGGTGCCCAAACTTTCTCATACGAAGGGCCAAAAACCCAACTTGATTGAGGCTATAATGGGCCGAAGGTAAATATAGTTGCCATGAGTAATTTCCTAATTTATTTAATAATATTTAAAAATGACTAGAAAAATAGCAAATACAATGTATTTTTATATGATTTATAAGGAACTTATAGAAAACAAGACTATAAGACTTTATAAGAAACAAAACAATCTCATTTATAACGGAATTACACTAGTTTTTGTCTTGATTTGCTCGCCCTTGTCTTCTGCATAGTCCTCCATCTGTCGAGTGACAGTATTTACATTTTAAAAAATTGAATTGAAACATTTAATTTCAGTTTGCTTTTTTGTAGCTCGGCAATAAAACAATCAAAAAAGGTTACGTCAAATTAGAAATGACCATCTCTGTGTAAAAAGGCATTCGCTTCAACCCTCCATCATTCTCTCTCTCGACTCGGATAGGATGGTGGGCCAAATCAAGGGTTACAATGGGCCAACTTTGGCCCGCAGGCCCTACTATGTGAATCTTTGCACTAATCCCTTCAGAAGGATTTAGGATTAGGGCATAGGGAGGAGTCGTTCCAAATAGAGATGTTATTCACATTCAAGTGGTAAATGTTGATTTCAGGGTGACCTTTAAAGGTGTACTCACACTATGCTATCTGAACCGTGCCCAGGCCTGTTTCCTGGATCGTTTGAGAAGTGTGAGTGCTCTGATTCGGGCTCAGGCACAGTTCACTTGGCTGGCCCTGGCCCAGTTGGAAGAGGTGTGCCTGAGTGCGGTTCAGGTGCAGTACACTTGTAGTGTGAGTGCAAAGTACGCCTGAGCCCGAAACTGAAGACGAGACGTGACTTTTAAAGGACTGTGTGGTATGTATTTATTAATCATTCTTATTGTTCAATGAACGCAAACTGTCGTAGATTATTAAAGACGCAAACCCCTCACTGCAGTTACAGCTGTACCTTTAACAAACCTCATAATTCCTGCAGCATGAGGACTTTATGATTGTTTTTGAGCATCAAAAGTGGCTTGATGCTCAATATTTGACTGCATGTCACTGCATATGAAATAACTAAAACGATATAACTAAAGAAAGCTCCACTGTGCTGACCGAGAGCGCTTACTGAACAGCGCATCATCGATGACATAAGCCTGCTCAAGCCCGAATGTAATATGAGTGTGGGCCGTCAGGGGAGACGGGAGGGGGGACAAGCATGCTTCGGCCCAGTTTAAGGCAACTGTACATAGTGTGAGTACGCCCTAAGAGGGACGTGGAGGCTTAAGATTTAAGCACTGCATGTGGAAATTGCAGAAGATGACAATTACAGATGATGTACTGGTGTTTACTCATCCAATTAAAGAAGTGCTAAAAAAAATCTTGGGAGTATAGACCGTTTCAATGTGGTGATGTCACTATCCGCTTATTGTCGAACTATGTCATAATTGTAACAAGAGGCAATTCAATTATTTATCAGTATATGGACCTTTTTGGATTCTCTGAAGCTATAGAAATTAAAAATGTAAAACAGGAAATGTGTTAGGACCATTGTTATGGTTTACATCCCTCAAAATGGTCTATACATATAGTAATACTGTAGGATTTAAGTCTTATAGTAAACACTTCATTTGGCCGTTCCAAATACCAGTTTCAAGCTTCACTGTAGATGAAACAATTTATGAAACAAAACCTTTTAATGCAATTCAAGAAATATATAAACTGTTGACTAATATTTCAGTTTTCACAACAGAGATGGTATAGTGATTTTTCTGGCCATGCAATGGAAACACCAGCAGCAGATGTAGAATGAGGTAAAGTCGGTTTTATATTCACACATTTGTCGCACATTGAACAGTGACAACTTGTCTGTATATTGTTTACCACACTACTTTGATTATTCTGTCTGAAATTGCAAGCATCACTTCAAAACAGCATTAGCCCTATTCAACTGACTGTGGACAATGTTGTATTTTAATAGTGATCGGCTGCTAATACGATTTCCCTGTTTAGGATTTGAAAGAATACTTTACTGAAACGATATTGCTAAGGAGGAAGTCAGAATGCGCAAATATAAAACCAACTTTACCCCAATCAGATGTAGTAGCATGCTCTGAATCATCCTCTATAGTTTTAAAAAGACAGGACATTCTGTATGAAATATTACGAGTATTGTACAAAATGGATACAAGAGAAACAAGTTACAGTTTTATGGATACCCGCTCATGTAGGAGTAGAGGGAACGATCTGACAGACAAGCTGGCCATAACACCATTAAAACAAGATGAGGTACTGTGCTAAAGTCTTAGAGTACTAGTACTCATTTACTCATTTTCTTTTCGGCTTCCTTTATTAATCAGGGATTACCACAGCGGAATGAACCGCCAACTTATCCAGCATAAGTTTTTTTTATGCAGTGGATGCCCTTCCAGCTGCAATCCACCACTGGAAAACATTCATACACACATATACACTACGGACAATTTTAGCCTATTCAATTCACCTATTGCAAATATCTTTAGACTGTGGGGGAAACTGGAGCACCCGGAGGAAACCCACACCAACACAAGGCCACAAATAATAATAATAATAATAATAATAATAATAATACATTGTTATTTCTTAGCCACATATTTAAAATTTTTTCAACGTTTCTTTTTTTACCAAACTGTTCTGTTATAAAACCTTGTTTCATGCCTATTTATAAATATTAGGTCCACTCCCCTTTACCAAAGAGTAAATAGTTTTTGTATGGAAGATCATGTAAAGGTATATGCTGCGCTGTTATTATCATGAGGATTTGTGTAAATGTTGGCTTTTCTTGGACAGAGGAACATTTTAAATAATTTTTTAATGATCTAAAATAATTTAAGACCTACAACACAATATTTCAGTGATTTTAAGACTAAGGCCTTTTTTGCATTTAAAAATTAAGACATTTTAAGACCCCGTGGACACCCTGCTCCAGAAAGAAAATAATAAGAAAAATTGTGAAATCATTTCCTTAGTTAAACATCACCTGTGAATTAAAAAAAGATTTAGGAGCGTTAGTCATAACTATGTTTTCCAAAATGCACTAAATTATTATTATTTTTTTATGTGCATAAATATATCTGACCTTTATAGAATTAATTTCTATTTCACACATTGTTTCTTCTTAGTTTGTTTTCATATTTATACCAAGATTTAAAATGTTCAGGTATCAATTATTTTTTGTATAAATGTATAATGTTTAAGCATACATAGATTTATTATTATATTTTTTTTTATCATATTGAGATCAAAATATTTGGGATTAAATTGTGAGGACTTCCCCCAGTCTTCCCTATTACATTTGTAATGCTTTATTTATTTATTTATTTATTTAGTCTCAATGCACTGAACTGTCCATATTAAGAGCTATTTAGAAAGCATGATTTCAGACCTCATCCTGAGAAATGTTGCAAGAACTCTTTAGCGGGTTCATCAGTGACGTTTAGGATATGACATCACCAGTGTCATGTGACTGCCTGAGCTAACTCCCATTGGAGCTGAGAGATTTATCTAATCACACATGCTGCATTTGCATTAACACACATTACATTCTGATAAACATTAATAGACCTTTATTATATTTAGATATCGATTGACAAACGTCCACGCTGCATGTCTTCATATCTACTCCCTACGTTACTGACTTTAAGCCAAATTTTTGATCCAGTTGAGTTCCAATAGTTACACATCTCTTGACAATCAATATGAAAAGCAAGATCTGATAAGTGAAAGGGAAGCAAAATAATAAAAAATAAATAAAAAAATAAATCAAGGAATGGATTAAGCAGCTGAATTGTTGTACTGAGTGGCTGAATTTCATAATGAACTGTCCAGCTATTTGTCCATGTTTCATTTATTTGTCCGTTCAAAGGTCAATCTAACATTTCATCCCTGTTTTGAAAGATAAAATGTTTCATCAGTTTGTAGTCATTTTCTATAATAGGAAGTGATGTGACAGCCTTTTATACTGTAAGTAAATGAATAAATCAAGCATAGAAGGTATTGTACATCTGATTAAAAGCCCATTTCCACCTTACAAAGTGATTAGAACATTTCCCCCCTGTAGTTCTGAAGAAAAGTCAGAATTATGGGATATAAATGAACAATTAACTGCCGAGTTCTTTCCTCAGAACTGACTTTCTCATGATAGACTAAAAAGTCCAAATTCATAAAAGTGTTTAATGAAAAAACTTTTTTGTTACATACACTCTCAGAAATAAAGGTACTCGAGCTGTCACTGGGGTGGTACCTTTTCAAAAGGTACGCATTTGTACCTAAAAGGTCCATAATAATACCTCAAGGGTACATATTAGTACCTAAAAAATACAAAAGTGTTCCTCTTAAAGTTTTTAGTTACTAATATAATTCTGAAGTACAA